GAGAGAGAGAGAGAGAGAGAGAGAGAGAGAGAGAGAGAGAGAGAGAGAGAGAGAGGAGGTCTCAGAAAAGCAGTTCTCTGACATTGTTGGAGTCTTCTGAGAGCTTTGTAAAACTCCATGCTCAGGCCGCACTGCACCCCTGAAAGCAATGTGTAGAACGTGGAGGCCTGAGATTCCAAGCTCATGAGGACGCAGTCGCCCCTACATTCCAGGTGTCCCTGGCCAACAGTCTCTTGTTTCCAGGGCCAAGACAGTGACTGTCCCGGAGCCATGGGCCACCCCTTCAGAGGTGAAAGAGAAGATCCACCTCTTCTCCCATAAGTCCGAGTTTGTGGAGAAGAGCATGAAGCGTTTCTCAGGTAGGTGGCTGGGGCAGATGGAAGGCACTGCTCTCCTTTTCCCTGAGGCTCATGAAGTCCAGAGCCCCCTCGTCTTGTCTGCCTTCTTCAGCTGCTCCCTGATCATGTCTAGCCAGTGTTCTAACCTGGGCTTCTCTGTTCTCCTCTCCGTTTAGAAAGTCTGCGCTCGGAAATGGAAGCGTTCATTGGTGAGCATGGGATCATAGGGGTGCTGACTAGGGATTGGTGCCGTAGTCCCTTCTGCTGTTCATTTCTGGGCTGGGCTTAGAAGAGAGAGAAACACCGGGAGCCTGGGGACAAGCCTTTGTGCCTGACTCGTCTCACTGGGCTAACTCATGGGAGCAGCACTATGGGAGGCCTGAGAGCGGTGGACTTAACAGCCTCCTGGCCACTGGACTCCTTGTCTTTCCTTGTAGAGATCATGGTAGAATGGTTGCTGTTGCTAAGGACTGCATAGTCCATTTGTGACTATGAGGGACCCCATGTGACAGAGCACAACTTCCCCCACAGGCTCCTTTGTCTGGAATCTTTAGAGGGGCTTATTACCAGGTCTTTCTCCTGTGGAGCCTCTGGGTGGATTCAAACCGCCCCCCTTTGGTTTAGCAGCCAGGCCCCACAGAGTAGCTTTAACCTTCTGGATGAGAATCTCATGCTATTTTCCCCCATCTCCTTTTTCTCTGTAGCTCCAGAGTTAATAGCTGCTCAGACCCATGCAGGTAAGTGCCCAGGTCCAGGAGAGTGGCCTTGGCCTCTTGGGTCCCTGTGTTCTCTTTCACTGGGTTCCAGATGAATGGTCACTTTCGTGTTTTCTGGAAGTGGGAAGAAGCCTTGGGGATGCTGTCCATGGACCCTTGGCTGAGTACTGACTCTCTCCGCAGTTGATGTGATTCTGGACGCAAACACTGCCCATTCCAACCTCATCATCTCTGACGATCTGAAGAGTGTGAGACTTGGGAGCAAGTGTAACCAGTTGCCCCAAGGCTTGGAAAGGTTTGATAGTTGCATCCTGGCCCTGGGCTCTCCGGCCTTCGTCTCTGGCCGCCAGTACTGGGAGGTGGAGGTGGGAGACAAGACAGGCTGGGTCCTGGGAGTGTGCACAGCATCGTCGAGCAGGAAGGGGACTGTGGATCTGTCACCCAAGAATGGCTACTGGGTGGTGATGATGCTAATGTGCAATGAGTACCAGGCCTCCACATCCCCGCCGACCCGCCTGTGGATTAAGGAGCCACCGCGGCGGGTGGGCATCTTCCTGGACCACGAGGCTGGAGGCATTTCCTTTTACAACGTGACAGCCAAGTCCCATATCTACACGTTCAACTGCTGCTCATCTTTAGAGCCTCTGCAACCTGTCTTCAGCCCCAGTGCGAATGCTGGGGGGAAGAACATGGGTCCTTTGACCATCCGTCCAGTGTGTGTTCAGGGACCCCACTGATGCCCAACAGGTTGTAACTCGTCCAGCACCCAGTCTTGTAGTTCCCATTCATGTACTCAACAGTCATTGCTGGACACCTACTGGGTGCCACAAGTGCTGGTGTGGTGCTGTGGGTTAATGCGCTAGACTGCAAAGTTGGTTTGAGCCACAAGGCCGGCGGTTCAAGCTCACCAGCCGCTCCTTGGAAACCTATACGGGGTTGGAACCGACTCGACAGCACTTAACAACAACTGGGTGCCAAGTGCTGTGGGCATTATAATGAGTAAGAAACCAGTCTCTGTGCCCAGGGAACTCAGAATAGTAGCAGGGGTAACCTAGTTGCACAAATATTGTCAAACCCTAATGGTGTAGAGTGGACTTCAGAGAGTGCATACCTATTGCGGAATAAGTACTTGTATGACTCAGCACCTTCCACTGGCCTCGGTTTCCCTGTGGATAAGTCCCCTGTTCTCTTCTGCCCTTCAAGAGGTCGTAGGAGTCCTGGAGAAAACCCAAGCAGATTGGGTTGTTGACGAAGATTTTTTTTTGTACCTGGATGAATAAACTGATTCTTACATTGACTGAGCCTCATGAATAAACCCTTGAGCACGTTTGGTCAGAAGTGATTATTGTCATCGCTGTGGGAGGGATCCCATTTCCCTGAGATGGGGCTGCGTGTAACACTGGAAAAACATTCACTCATATTCCAAGGGTTGGATTATTCTGTCCTAGTCTTTATCAAAGGAGCCCTGGTGGTGCAGCGGGTGAAGTGCTGGGCTGCTAACCCTTTGGCAGTTGGAACCCACCCGCTGCTCCAAGGGAGAAAGGTGAGGCAGTCTGCTCTCTAAAGCTTACTAGCCTCGGACACTCTTACTGAGCAGTTCTGCTTTGTGCTCCAGGGTCACTGAGGGTCAGAACCCACTTGATGGCAGTTGAGTCTGGTTTTGGATTTGGTCTGAGGATAATCTGAGGGACCAAGGAATGGTGAGTGTTGTATTTCATGTTTGTCCCCATGTTCATCCTCCATTTAAATAGTAAAGTTAACTCATGGAAGCAGCAGTCAAGAAATCAAACGACGTATTGCATTAGGCAAATCTGCTGCACGAGACCTTTTAAAGTGTTGAAGAGCAAAGACGTCAGCTTAAGGACTAAGGTGCGCCTGACTCATGCCATGGTATTTTCAATAACCTCATATGCATGTGAAAGTTCGACAGTGAATAAGAAAGACAGTAGAAGAATTGATACTTTTGAGTTACAGTGTTGGAGGAGAATATGGAAAGTGCCATGGACTGCCAAAAGAATCAACAGATCTGTGTTGGAAGAAGTGCAGCCAGAGTGCTCCTTGGAGGCCAGGATGGCTAAACTTCATCTCTCATACCTCAGACATACTGTCAGGAGGGACCAGTCGCTGGAGAAGGATATCATGTTTGGTAAGGTGGAGGGTCAGAGAAAAAGAGGAAGATCCCCAGCAAGATGGATTGTCAAAGTGGCAGCATCAGTGGGCTCAAACATGGCAACAATTGTGAGGTTGGTCCAGGATCGGGCAGTGTTTCATTCTGTTGTGCACAGGATCGCTATGAATCGGTACCAAGTCGATGGCACCTAACAACAACAAATGTAAACAGTAAGGAGTTTTGGTAGCAGTGGTTGAGTTGGGCTGCAAACCTCAAGGTCAGGAGTTCGAAACTACCAGCTGTTCCGTGGGAGAAAAATGAGGCTTTCTGCTCCCGCATACATTTACAGCCTTGGAAACCCTTTGCGGTGTTGTTATGAGTTGGACCCAACTCAATGGCACACAACAACATTAACAGTAGGTGTTGTAACAACACACACACACACAACAAACAGTCAAATGAAGATTAAACTCCAGACTCCTCCTAGCCCCACCTCCTTTCTCCATCTTTACTATTTGTGTCTAGATTAGACTCAAGTTCTCCATGGTTTCATCAGCATGTGTTTGCTTTCGTATGGGGAGCATTAGTCTACTGGGGGAATCCACATGTTGGCAAAGTTTACGCACCCTATTTTTTTTTTACCACAGTTTTGTGTATTTTTAATATGTCCCTCCACACGTCCATTTTTTCTCCTTGTACATCACTACTAAAATCATTCCTGAATGTGAACCATTTAATAACACTTGATACAGTTTGCCATACCATCTGACCATCCTTTTGAAAACATTAAAAATTGTTTCACGTCCACAGAGCTGTTTGTCATTTAAAATTTGCCCCCAATTTACACAGGACTGGAATGGGACTTTAGCTCTGTTTTAGTTCATTACCTGTTAGTGAGGCAGCTCGTGAATTTTTCTGTGTGGATTTTGGCTCTTTGCTGTATCTTATGGAAATGTACTTGCTATGTGGAATCTAGCTAGACATGAGTTATAGTATGTCTTTATAAATATTTCAATAGTAAACATTTATATCTGTCAGGTGAAAATTTCCTTTTGTGTTTTTGTTTTGAGATATAAATCTCATGCAATACAATCCACTATTTTAACACGTAGAATCCAGTGGTTTTAACATTTTACACAAGGTGTGTAACCATTACCACCATTTCGACTCACAGTGACCCTGTATAGGTTTTCTGAGGAGCGGCTGGTGAGTTTGAACTGCTGTACCTAAGTACAGAATATTTTCATCACCCCACAAAGAAACTCCGTGGAGAATTCAGTAACTTTTGGTGTATTCATAAGATGTGCAACCATCACCAGTATCTAATCACCCCACAAAGAAACCCTACACCTATTGTACTCATTCCCCATTTGCTCCTGGTAACTAACAACCTATTTGCTCTCTGGATTTGCCTATTCTGAATGTTCCAAATAAACGGAGTCGTAAAATACGTGCTATTTTGTGACTGGCTTTTTTCACTTAGCCTGCTGGTTTTCAAGGCCCATCCATGGAGTTTCCAAGTGCCACTGAGTTGGTTCTGACCCTGTATAGTGTTTCCAAGGAGTGGTTGGTCAGTTTGAACTGCTGGCCTTGTGTTTAACTGCCCAGTGCTTATGCTATAGTGACACACCAGGACATCCAAGGAGTGTTGTTGTTGTTGTGAAGTGCTGTTGAGTGGATTCCGACCCATAGCGACCTTGTATAGGGTTTCCAAGGAGCAGCTGGTGAGCTTGAACCATGGACCTTGCAGTTTAAATGGCTTTGTAGTCTGGCGCATAACCCACAGCGCCACACCAGGAAGTGACATCAAATTGGTTCTGACTCATAGCGACCCTATTTAGGGTTTCCAAGGAGTGGCTGGTGAACTTGCTGTTCAAACTGACCTTGCAGTCCAGTGCTTATCCTAAGCACCACACCAGGACTCCTTCATGAAGTAGCATTTTTTACTTCTAGATAATTAAATATTAATTCTTGATTCACCCTTCAAATATATGGGTTTTCTAAATTACAAAAGTAGCATATATTCACTAGTTGGAAACATAAGAGATTTATAAAACATAAAAAGTGAAAATCCCTCCTAATCTGTCTACTTAGAGACAGCCACCGCCTGTTTTATATGCTTTCTTCCAGTTGAAAACAACAAAAAACAACTCGTATTTTATTTTAAAAAATTGTATTATACATACCGCTTTTGTAACTTGTCTTTTCACTTCATTTCTCTCGTTTTAAGTCATTTCATTGGATCCCATTGCATGTGCACACTATAAGTTGTAGAACCAGTTTTTTGAAATTTCAAGCAAAGTCATACCACCTCTGTAGCTTTATTTAAAGTAAATTCTGAGACAGAAAATGTGTTTTTAAAGTTTATGGGTATTTTACTTCTAAAAAATAAATTATTGCATTAATTTGCTTTTATAGCATAGAATATTTTTATGATTCTTATTATAAGTTGCATCTCTCTAATTATATATAAACAATTACTTTCTTTTCATGTGATAGGCTTTTTGTAGATCTAGATGTTGTTGTTAAGTGCCATCGAGTCGGTTCCGACCCATAGCGACCCTGTACAGGGTTTCCGAGGGTGTAAATCTTTAGGGGAGTAGAAAGCCTCATCTTTCTCCGGCGGAGCGGCTGGTAGTTTCGAACCGCTGACCTTAAGGTTCGCAGCCCGATTCGTAACCACTACGCTACCAGAGTCTGTTTATACCCTTAGATTAAGATCTAATATTATTTTAGATCCATTTATGCCATTTCTATTTTATTGATTAGTTAAAAACAATTTTTTTGCGTGTGTGAATTGAGTGATAGTTTACATGGGAGAACGTCGGTTTTACACTCATTGTGTCATTGCAATGATTAATTGATCAGTTTTTAAAAACAGGGTGCCATCAAGTTTTTTTTGAAGCTGTATAACTGTACTTATACTTTATGATTTGTTATTTTTTCGTTAAAACACTGAAACTTGCTTAGTAAATGAAGTGACCCAATCCATAGCTGTCTAGTTTCTCTTCTGTCCTTGTCCATTTCTCCTATGAGTAAGCCTTTGACCATTCTGGTGTGTATCCCTCCACACAAACCTCTGCAGTGGGTTCTGTTTGTTAAAACATTTGTATCATGTGCTATGTACACAAGGAGTCCTGATGTGGCACTGAGGGTTAATGCGCTGGACTGCAAGGTCAGTTTGAACCGCAAGCTCAGCCGTTCAAGCTTACCAGCTGCTTCTCAGGAACCCTATACGGGGTTGCTATGCGTTGGGACCGACTCAATGGCACACAACGACAACATGTATATTACTCTGACCTTGCTTTTTTCCACTCAATATTTTGTGGCCGTCTCTCCAGATCTGTATTTAATTCTAATCCATTCATTCTGATAGCTGTGAATATGGATTCAGGTATAAGTTTTCAAATTAATCATTTCTTGATGAACATTCCTTTTTCCAGTTGTTATCACTACAAAGTATTCTATTCTACAAGAAAACTGTTCTTAGTCATTACAGACAGTTCAAGACTAGACTGCCAGGGGCTCATCGTGCAGAACTGTATCAGGCACTCTTCCGCTGCTCTCCCGAAGTTCTTTTCTGAAGTAGATTTCCAGCTCTTTCTTCCTAGTCTATACATTCCATTG